TTACATTTGACTCTGATTCCTTTTTTATAACATACACCAACCAAATTTGTTTCTATATCATTACCCATAACAGTGATTTTTGGTAGTAAATAAATATCCTGTGTTCGTTTTTTTAGCTTTAATTCCATATTCAAGCGATAACCGATCATCTGCATTACTCATATTACTAGATTATCTCATTACTTAATATAACATTCTAAATTTTTGTAACATAATGGGTGTCCTGCACTTATTGTTTTAATTTTCATTTCAGCATATTACTGAATGCCTTATGTCTATTTTTTTTGATCTAATTTTTTTTTTTTAATTAAAAAAAAAGTCTTTTTCATTAAAAATTAGTAAGTTCTGAATCAAAATATAGTGGCATTTCTAATAAAAAAACAATAAGTGAATCTAAATGTTATTTGGTTGTTTTATCATCAGCAGGATATTTTTTTCGTCCTTCTAAGCTAAAATCTACTTTCCATTTATTTAATAATAAAATTTTGTTATCCTTATTTTTAAATTAGTTCTCGTGTTCTTCAAAATCAATCCATTTGTTAATTAGATTTTCTCACTTTTGTTTCTCTTCTACAATATCTTTATTTTCTTTAAAATTTTGATTTTTTTGATTATGAGATCTGGTAGTTATCTTTTCTTCAATATTACTATTATCACTTACTTGATAATCTAAATCAGTAATGATTAATTCTTGTTTAATATTTTTATTATCTAATATAGATGTTGCAACATATAATCTGCAAATTTGGTTATCATATTTTTTTGCATTCTTGATTTGACAAAACCAAAGAATATTACTTCGAATTTGGCTCATTATCAAGATTTTACTTTGCTATGATATTATAAGACAAATATTAATCAAAATTAATTTATAGTAATCATAGTTAAAGAGTATAAATTTATTAATAAAAATTAGTGAAATACTATTATTATTTTAACATTATATTAAAATACTGAAAATTTTAACAATATATAACAACCACATAATTATTAAGAAAAATGCAAATAGTTTAAGAATTACTAAATATATTTTAATAATTCTATAAGAACCAAAATAACTTATACTATAATATTTATTGAAAATTTAAGAAAAACTTAATATAAAAAATTTTTATCATATATATTTTTTTTTTTTGATATATCTTGCTATTGTTTTATTGTAGATTCAAACTAAACAAAAATTACAAGAATTTTTAACTAAAGCTATTATCTAACTAATCACAACAAGTAACTTATTCAACTTTAAAAGTCTAGATACAATATTGGCTAGTAACAATTTGTCTTTCTTTGGGTCTCTAACTTCCTAGAGACATGAACTCTTTGATCATTGGCCAGTGCTATATATTATATCAATATTATCTTTTCTTTTAGAGAAACAAAAAACATACACAAATTTAAAGAGCAAAAAAAATTGAAAAAATATCTTAATGATTAAATTCGATCCACCTAATCCAATAAACCAAAAAACAAATAGAAGAAAAAAAACAAAATAAAAGAAAAAACAAAGAAAACTTATTCTAGATTATAAAAATATATAGTACTACTAAATAATCTAGTCAAGCTCTACACTAGTTATTTAAGTCTATATTTAAAATATTAAAAAAACAAAAATCATCTATTATTGAGTAGAGATCCAAGTTTGAAATTTTTATTCATTCTGTTATATTTTTATCAAAACTTTTACAATATTATTCAAATATAGTCTTTCTATACAAATTTTTCCTATTATATTCTATAAGCCCAACTAAGTCAGGACTCCTATTATAACTTCTAGAAGGCAGAAGATTGAGTACACTATTTAGCTCAAAGTAAATATATATATATATTTTTTTTTTTTTTCTTTTTTGATAATGATCATTAGTGTTGATTTTTGATAGGGATACTGTATACTAAATTTTTCATTTTTTATTAAAATTTCAAAAAGCATAGTAAGTGGGATAATAAAGAAAAGTTTGGTTTGTAGGTCAAAAAGCATAGTAAGTGGGATAATAAAGAAAAGTTTGGTTTGTAGATAGTTTTAAACTTTGATAGGGAGTGTATTAAAAACTCACTTGTTGTTTTTCTTTCTTTAGACCAACTGTTTTTACTTTGTTAACAGAAGCTATGCTTCTATTAAATTTTTTTGTACAAGGGTGTCACCTTCTTGCCAGTTATCTTATACAAGAATGTTTTAATTTGCTTGTTGAATATACAGAGAAGTCTGATTGAAAAATACAAATATTTTAACCTCTATAAAAACTGTTACTTATAGTTATCTCTTCTATCATCTTCAACAAGTTTTTGTTTTTGTTAGCTATAAGTTTAGTTTGAGTGATTGTTAAGAAGAGTTTTGATTTTTATCATATTTTATACAGAAAAAACTATATTAACTTTCTATATTTTTATCATTAAATTTGTTATTTTTTATACTTTTTAACCTTAATTATTATAAAATAAATAGAAAATATATGAACCTGCAGCTAAGCTCTGCAATTAAATATAATAGCCTTATGAAAAACCACAAATATTTTTGGTTAATACAAATTTTATTAATTCTAAATTTACTCTTTTGGTTGATTTTTAAA